AAAAAAAAAAAAAAAAAAGAATCCTGCCATTCTTCACTACTTCCCTGCAGCCACTCTGGTCCAATCCCTGCCTTTTACTTGAGCTATTGTGATAGTTTATAATAATCTACCTGCAGCAATCCTTGACTTTCTGTATTCTATTCTCAATACAGCAGCAAGACACCTTGCTAATATGTGCTCAATACCTTATAATGATTTTATCTTTTACTTAGAGTAAAGTCAATGCTACACATTATCCTATGAGGCCACATAACTTTCTTTATCCCCTTCCCCATCACTTCCTAGACTATACCTTTTACTGTTCCTCTCCATCAAGCTTCTGCAGTTCCCTGGACTCCATGGTGTTCCAAACTTGTGCTCTTGCCTTAGAGATTTTGTCCTAGCTATCTGGCCTTCTCTCTGTCTCTCTCTTTTTTTTTTTTCCTGAGACAGAATCTCACTATGTCACCCTCAGTAGAATGCCATTGCATTACAGGTCACAGCAATCTCAAACCTAAATGATTCTCTTGCCTCAGCCTCCCAAATAGCTGGGACTTCAGGCACCCACCACAATGCCTGGCTATTTTTTTGTTGTTGCAGTTGTCATTGTTGTTGGCAGGCCCAGACCAGGATCGAACCTGCCAGTCCTGGTGTATGTGGCCAGTGCCCTAACCGCTGAGCTATGGGCACTGAGCCTCCTGGCCTTCTTGAAAGATTTTTCTTCCCATAACCCCCTGGCAAACTCCCTTACCTCCCTAATATCTGTTTTGATTTCACAGTTTCAATAAAGTCCATCTTGACCACCCAATTTAATACTGCAGCTTCCTACCTTACCACTTCTAATTCCTTTATCCTGCTATAATATTTCATGATTTATCATCTAACATATTATATATTTTCTAATTTATTTTGTGTATTCCTTCTACTTATTCCATAAGCATAAACCCTAATAAGCAGAGTTCTTTTTTGTATTCCCTGATCCATAGCAAATATCTAAAACTATGCCTGGTACATAATAAATACTCAATAAATACTTATTAGATGGGTGGATTGAATGAACGGGGTGTTCGTCTGACTGAGGACCCCAAGATTCATGGTTATGGAGCACTCAGACTGTACTAGGGGCTGAGCCTAAAAGATGGATGCTGGCCTTTTCCAGTGACTTCTTCTAGAAGCCTCCTTTAGGCTCCTCCAAAGAGTCCAAATCTGAATAGCCCATCTCTAGGCTTCTACCGCTTACTCCTAATCTTGCCTCTTTTTCCACAGGATTGGGGAAGATGAGGCTCCAGAGTGGGTGTGGTAGAATGTTCCATGTAGAGAAATCCTCAGGCCATGTTGCACCTCACCTCCTCACCCGTATCTAACCAACTTCCAAACTCTCTGCTCACTGCACTTAGACCTTACCTTGGGACATGAGTTGTCGGAGCACACCTTGTAAGCGCTGGAGAACTGGGGAGGTGACTTGCAGAAGGGGCCGGGCCTGCCCCATGCCCACTTGGCACTGTCCAAACAAGCCATCTAAGAGCACAAAAATCATGTCAGCAAGTGGCTTGAACAAGAGGCCTTCCAAAGTTCAGGTTGCAAATTGACAGCACTCTCCACCTTCTCTCCCAGCCTCAGAACTCTGCTCCTTCTCCACCTTCTCTCCCAGCCTCAGAACTCTGCTCCTTCAAGGCCAATAGCCCTCCCCCTTTCTGGTCCTCCTCGCCTGTTTCTTATTGTATTTCCCCATCCTGTGAGTTCTATCCCTGGGCTTCACTCACCCTGAATACAGACTTCAAGGTGAGAGCAGAGTCTTCGATCAAACAGACAGCCTGTAAAGGGACAGGTTAGCGAAGGCTCAGAAACTCACAATCATAGAATGGTAAGAGGACGGACAGGCTGGGAAAGGGGGAACAGATGTGGCCCAGTCTTCCGTTCTAAAGAAGGCTTTAAGCTAGGAGTAAAGTGGGGAAGAGGCCTGGAATTCTTAAAAGAAGGAAGCATGAAATCTGGCTTTGGATGTTAAGAATCTGTAAATCTTGAACCTTAAAAGCCTCAGTTTGCTTAACTGAGTGATCAGAAGAAATCTTCCAGGTGCATGGGGGCGGGGAGTAATGATGGTGGAGGATCATATGGTTCTTTGCTTTCTCTTTATTACTATGCAGGAAGTTTGGGCCAAATTCTGAGGAAAAGGGGACTTTCCTTCCCAAATCTCCAAAAACATTCAAACTACGATGGCCTGGAGCTCAGAAAAGGTGGAAACCCTAGCACACTTGCCCCCGTGTGGTGAAGGGGTAAGGGTGAGTTGTCTCTAAGGCAGCGTTTCCCACACTGACTCCACCTCCCCACCCCCAGCCTCTGACGCTGTCCGTGGTGCTGAAGCTTTGAGTCTGGCGCGGCCAAGGGCTAGCCTGAAGGCAGTTACCGGACAAGGGGTAACAGGATGAAGTCTCCACAAGAACTGACTCCTCCGTTCTATCCTGTCAACCCACAGCGTCACAGGAAGTACCCTGCAGTGGCCTTCAAGCCCGGGTGGGGAAACAGGGCGCCAGGTGGCGAGGCTGCGCCCCTTCCCCCACGCGTCGCCCTCCCACCCCCACCCCCCGGCCCGTGAGTCAGCGCTGACTGTCTCTGTCCGCAAAGATGTGAGTCAGCACCAGGCCTAGCTGTGGGGAGGGGGACAGGAGAGGACCCTCCCTCTTCCTCCTCTCTGCCCCCTCCTCCAGCTGACTCCCTATAGGAAATCAGATCGCAGCAATCGGTCTCTCTAGAAGCTCTAACCCCTCTCTCGACTCAATCTGCTAACTGGAGCTGGGACCCCTGTTTGAGACCTAGGCTTTTGCTGCCCAGAGATCTTCATTCTCTCTCCCTCCCGCTACTTCCCCGCCCCCTCCGCCCTCCCATTTCTCCAAGAAGATCACTGCCTTCCCGGAGCCTCGGCGCGACTTGCTTCTCCTATGGTCTTGAAACTGGTCTCTAAGTCCCTCTGCCCACAGGCGCCCTCAATCCTGCTCCTGAACCCACGATCTTCCCCTGAGCCCAATTCTCTTAGGTCCCGCCCCGAATTCCCAGCCCCACCTCCAGGCCTACGCCCCTTTCCCCCAGAGGCCCTCTCACCTTCCCCACTTCAAAGTGCCTCTCCCCTCCCCCGGCATTCTCTACCTGACCCTTCTACCTTCTGAACACTTCACCCCAGGACCCCACCGAGTTTTGCTCCCGGCCCCATACTGTCCCCCATTACCCTCCTCCCCCCAGTTTCCTCCTGACCGTGGGCACTAATGGCGCTGCAACCCCCTGGGCGGCTGCTGAGCAGCAGGAGGCAGAGGAGCAGCCGGAGTCCTCCGGATCCCCCGAGACCCCCAGGCCGCCGCGGGCGCCTCATCCTTCCCGGCTCTGGGCGCTCGCTCCCCACCAGAGCCGCAGCGACGCTGGCGGGCGCCTGCCAGAGGGACCAAGGCGGAGCCTGCCACTCCCCACCCACCTACGAGGCGGGGTCTACATGCCCCTCTCGCGGCAACTCGGCGAACCGCGGGCGGGTGGTGACGACTTCTCCACCCCCAGCTCCTGCGTTCATTGGCGTCACACTTGGCGTAAAAGCCTTGTCTTAGCGGGGGACCTACCCAATCTTTCCCTCCTCTATCAAATAGTGGGTACCTCACTCGAATTTCCACTTAGCTCCACCCCTTTTTGACCTACACTTCTCTTCAAGGACCACCACCTTTATCTTCCAGTCCCAGGGTTGGCAACAAGGGTTACATTTGGGTAGGGGCTAGGAAAGGTGGGTGGGTCTGGAGTATAAACCCTAAAATGGGGAGCATAAAGGTGATCGAATAGTCATCTTTATTAATGGTCCTGGTGTGTTCCGTAAGAGGAGGCATAAGTTAGGCATGTGTGTCTGGATTACAGTTCTAACAGTGCCACCTACTAGGGGTATGACCTTGGGCAAGTTGCTTAACCTGTCTGTGCCAGTTTCCTCATTTGTAAAGTGGAGGTGCTCATGGTTCCTACCTCCCAAGGTGGTTGTGAGGAATATGTGAATTAAACTCAAGTGGATCACTCGGAACAGTGAAGTACAGGTACATACAGAGGACGGATACATCTTAGCTTTTGTCATTAACTTTGGCTCCCCTTTCTCTGGGCCTTATCTAACATGGACGTATCAACAATTTTACGGTTACGCAGGGCTGTAATCTTAGCACTCTGACGGGCCAAAGCGGCAGGATTGCTTGAGCGAAAGAAAGAAAGAAAGAAAGAGAAAAGTTAGCCATGCATCATGGCAGGTGCCTGTAGTCCCAACTCCTCGGGAGGCTGAGGCAGGAGGATCACTTGAATCTGGGAGTGTGAGGTTGCTATGAGCTACACTGATGCCATAGCACTCTAGCCTCAGCAACAGAGTGAGATTCTGTCACAAACAAACAACAAAAAAACCACTTATAGTTTCTACCTGCAAAATATATTTCACATCAGGCCACTTCTCTCCATCCTCACCACCATATCTGAATGACTGCGCTCGTGGCGTCACTACCTATTGCAGTAACCACCTAACTGGTCTTTTGCTTCCACTCTTGTCACCCAATAAATGGGGAATGAGCTTTCTAAAGTTAAAATTTGATCACTTTACAGTAAAACAGGAAAAAAAAGGCAGACGTGCATAGTGAATATTCATATCCTCAGCATCTAGATTTAGCAGTTGATATTTAACCATATTTGCCTCTTTTTAGTATTCAAACATAAATGATAGACATCATGATATTTTCTTTAGAAACATTTCAATATGCATCTCCAAGAAACAAGGACATTTCCCCACATAACCAAAATGCCATATGAAGCCTAACAAAATTTACAATAATTCTCTAATGTCATTAAATGCTCAGTTCATATTCAAATTTCTCAAATTATTTCCAAGAATGTCCTTTTTCAACTGCTGTGTTCAAGATAAGGGTCAAAGACCACCATTGCATTTGGTTATGTCTCTTAATTCTCTTTAAATTAGCATAGATACCATCTCCCATTCCCTATTTTTGATATTTTCTTGTTGAGAGATCAGATGGATTTTTCTTTAGAACTCCATGCCTTCTGGATTTGTCTGATGGCTTCTGTGTGGTGTATTTCCCTGCATTTCTCCAGCATATAACTTGTTTATTTTTTGTATTTCTTGTAAGCTAGAAGTTATAGATGAAGTCTTGATTGGATCAGATTAAAGAATTTTATTTTTTTTTATTTCGGGTTATTGTGAGGGTATAAACAACCAGGTCACAATTTTTGAATTTGTTAAGTAGAGTCCCTCTTGTAGTTGTGTTCTGTACCCCAAAAGTGTGCCATTCACTCTACCTTGTGCCCTTTAAGAGGGAGCACCCCAATCCCTCCTCCATTCACCCCTCCCTCATTCCTCCTTCCCCCAGCTTGAATAGAATTAAGTTTTCCTCCTATATGAATGTGTGTTAGATTATCTGCTGGCTTCCTGGTAACACTGAGTACACTGGATGCTTGTTTTTCCATTTTTTTGATACTTCATTAACATGATTGTGTTTCAACTCCATTCAGGTTTATACAAAGGATGTAAAGTCACCATCTTTTCTTACAGAGATTAAACAATTTTAGAAGTAAAATACTTCGGCTGGGCATGGTGACTCACACCTGTAATCCTACCACTCTGGGAGGCTGAGGCAGGTGGAATGCTTTTACTCACAAGTTCAAGACCAGCCTGAGCCTAAGGCGCCAGCCACGTACACCTGAGGTGGCGGGTTCGAATCCCCAGCC